CCCCCCCTCTCTCTTTCCACCCAGAGTTCTCCAAACAACATGGCAGGAATGAACAATCCCCCAGGGACTCCACGCGACGATGGGGACATGCCTGGGAACTTCTTAAACCCATTCCAAAGTGAAAGTGTGAGTCTGCCTCCCCGGACCCCCCTCTTTGTCCCCCAGTAGGACTGGGATCCAGCAGCCTTGGTCCTGAAAGGTCAGAGGTTACTGGCAGGGTAAGGGTGGGGGCCTTTGAAGAGGTTGGGGACCATAACAACGGCTTCATGGTAGACTGACGTGAGGACAAGCCACACAGCAGAGATGTCCCCTAACAAGTTCCAGTATCATTGATAGCGAGAACGGGCCCTTACCAGTCATGGCCTCCTCATAATCCCCCTCTCTGAACTGGCTTCATCACTCTGCTCTCCTCCCCACTGAGAGCTGGTGTGTGGGGAGCGGACTGGAGCATCACCCAGGTGGACGTGGAGGGGGATTCCCAGTAGGACCGAGCTGCCTGTTCCACCCTCCCACCACCCTTCATGTAAAGAAGTGACTCCCGTTCTCGGTATCAATGAGTGAGTCTAGTTCTGGCTGCTGACATAGGGGAGCAATAACCTCGTTTGGCCCCCTCGGGCGAAATCGGAGGTGAAGCCTCTGAGACACCTGTTGTTGATCCCTCGCGGAACTTGTTAGAGGACACCTCTGCTGTGTGGCTTGCCCTCACGTCAACAGTCTCCCATGAGACAGAGCTCCAGCCTGTCCCACTGCGTTCTAGTTCAGACGTTAGCTGGGGGGGGGTCTTCACCCCCTATCGCAGACCCTGTGCTGTGTTTTTTTAGCTAGAGCTGTGCCTATCCACTCTCACCCATCTCACCCCTCCTCTCTTCTCTCTTTGCAGTATTCACCCAACATGACGATGAGTGTGTGATTTCTTTTTTTATTTTTTTTTATTTTTGCCGCCTCCTCCTCCTCCTCTTCCTCGCTGCCCTCTTTTCCCCCCAATTCTCCGCTCTGGATCGTCACCCTCCTCCCCGCACACCACACACACACGTGCGCCCTCCCCGGATGGGGGCTTGGCGTCGGCCGCCGCGGGCGAGAGCGCTCTCCGAGCCCCCCGGGGGGGGCTGCTCTCGGACTCCCCCCACCCCCTGCCTGCCAGGCTACCTCACCGACCCGGGACACTGACCAGCCCCAGACAGCAGCAGTGGCAGCAGCCCTCTCGCTTCTCATCTGCTCCTTCTCGGGTTTGTTTTGTTGGGATGTTTTTAAGGAGAAACGCGGAACTGCTTCAATCCGGCGAAGCAGGCGGCCGATCCTGCCTGTTCTCCTGTCGGGATCGTGGTTATTTAGTCGTGTGTTTTTCTGGATGTCTTTTCCCCCCTCCCCCCCCTC